AGCCGAATGTGTTAATATTGTTTGAAATATATATATACACACATTCACATATATATTCGTAGCACCAAATAACAGCTGACATGGCAGTATTTGGTTTATTAATTACCACTAATTGTGTAATAGATCACCTTTAAAGTTCCTACTTCAATTTATTTTCAATGTACACACGGACGCTAGGCTTTGGGTGAGGTGCGACGTCGTATGTCAAAGTTAGCAATCTTTGCTATCTGTCGCTTCATTCACTTCCCTTTCCTCCGGTGGTCTCGGATTTAACATTAGAGAAAAACCATCACACTTTTCAGAATGATTTACTCGGAATTCTCTGCTATCCCGAACTAGTGACAAGATTTATCTCCTTACACATTACACAGAAACTCTCATGCGGTTTTGTTGGAAGGATCGGTGACTTTGTTGTGTAACCAGCAACCATTGAACCAACGGTGCTGAAGTATATCTGTAGGTCTTGTATATATCATGGTGATCATACGAAGTATAAATCAACACGTTTAAAATACATGTTATTTGTTTTATTACTTTGTTTTGAACATCTGATAAACGGTCATATCACATAGTATTTTCAATAGCATTAAACGTCTTTTTCTTGTGTTAAAATTGTTATCGATCTTAGTGAAAGAAGTAAAAATACATATACATGGTTAAAATATTTATTATGTAGTTTGCAAATGATCGAAACTTTACTGGTAAAACGAAATATTTTAAAAATCGTTTTGATAAAAAAGGTAAATTTATTTATACACACCAAACGAAAAACAAATAAAATAATAACTAATAACAAACCATAAATATAGAAGAAGTATTAAAGATACAATAGGTTTTTGTGTGAATCTTACATGGATACTAAAACCTTACCTTGACATGATGATCAGTAGTTTTAAAAGATATCGCATCAATGTAACATAAAATAGTATTAAAACATTCCCTGTAATATTTAAACCGACGTTTAATTGAAATATTGATAATACTCTAAAACATCTCGTAAGTTAAATGCATCAGACGTTTGACTAAAAGAATGACACAGTCATGATTAGAATTTAGACAAATAAAAGGCCATATTTAAAATCAAACGGAAAGTTAAAGCAAATAGCTATACTATTTTACTATCGACATGAAAAATTTTAAAAATATGATAATAAAGATACCTGTTTATACAACCGTTCATGTAGAAACGTCTTTTGCTGACGAACTCCTGCTCATACAGGGTTTCATAATTTTCTTCAGGTTTGTTAAACTCCTTTGGAAATGCACACGAAATGATTTAACTTCTCAAGCGCACCTTGATAATAACGGTTCCTTTCTTTCAATGCATTAGGTTTAGAATAATTAGGCGTGACAATAAGTGTTCACAGTCTTCCTTGTCACGCTAGTACTCACAAAGAGTAGAGAGTCACTCGGGCCAATTCGTAATGGTGAAGAGAAGGGTTCATAAATGCTACATTTGTTATCCTCCTTTGTTGATATCACGCAGGCTTTTTATAATCACACTCACGATGACATATGTAATAAAATTGAAATAAAATAGTTTTATAACGCTTAAGCCACTCTTCATCATGAGAAAATATTAAATTAACAACCGTTAATTCCTATGTACATTACGCTACTAATTACTTGTTTACAAACGTTCAATCATTTCAAAAGTGCACCAAAGTCTTACCCCGCGTTTGGTTGTATATGGAAGGAGGACCTCCGTATCCTACCTACGAACACAGAGTTCGTCTACACGATTATTAAGAAAGAAGACATTAGCTATACCAGTTTCTAACATAAAACTAAATTTGATGTTAGACCATGCTTGCTCCATCGCCTAGGAAGATACAAGGATGCGCCATATGGAAATTTTATTTCGAATTACTGTTGTTTTATGCCTTAATCTAACAATGTCTCTACAGATTTAATTGCCCGTACAAAAATGTGTAGTTTACAAATGATGGGTGCTCTTCACGTAGTGGCTAAACCTTTATTAAGTGTTAGTAGGTATTTCAAATTTTATCTATTATTCGCTTTTACCGTTCTTGAAGCAGAGCCCAGGGGAAAGAGGTGTTCGACTATCTTATTAGTGTAATTTTACATGAAAATTATGTGAGTTTTACAACAAGCTGCACCGTTAAAGTCTGCCTACCGATCCGGGTATGACGTGTAAACGCTGTATGATAAACCGATATTACATATTCTTCATTTGGCCATCAATGTCACTACTTGCAATAAAGACAGATTTTGGATGGTTTGTAAAATGAAAATAAAATGCCATATTACAAAGCATCCCAGCCCATCATGCATCATTTTCATGATGCTGTTGTGGTTTAAAACTCTCATCTGACACCTTGAAGGATTAACTGTCTTCCTTTCAATGAAAACAAAAGTATGCTTTAGGAGCACTAACACCAAACTTATACTGATACTTTTATTGAGAAAAATCCATTTATTTTTCTGTCAACACTTCCAACTTACTTCATATCATTTTAGATTTATGTTCAGTACAGTAAAATGTTTATATAATGGTCGATCAGGAAAGATATGTTACACCGCAACTATAGGGAATGTACACCCCAGTGGGTGCAGATTAAAATTTACCATAAAACGTTAATCTGTGTGTTCTTATTTACCGCTTTTAAACAGGAGGGAATTAAGACTGTTGTGATACCAGTTGGCGCTCTTCATCGGTCCCGGCTCAGTGACGAAACAGAATTGGATCAACACCGAGAGGGAGGTACGATCTGCGCAGTGATACACTACCGCTGAAGCGAAATAGTATAAGTGACCAATTTTCTCCTTTCTTAAAATTCTACATACGCGGAGTGTAATTAATATGAAAATAATGTAATTCCTGGTATATTCATACGGTATGGCCATATGTTTTTTTATTGGGTGTTATTATTCATAAATAACTGATAAAAACATAAATAGAAGGGGAAGCATAGGGCCGATACGTATCATCAATAGCATTTGAATTTGTTGTTTATACGGTAACTAAGAGAAAGTTCCCTTTGCAATTACCCCTCTCCCGAGCCATAAATCTATGTTAGAAAGGACAAGCCCAAAGAAAGGCCGTCACTGAGGATACTTCCCATTTCTTCCTTTGGGTAATACAGATTCATCTCTGAGAAATTTCATTTTGAAGGTTGTCAATTGACTTCCATTCACCTTCTATCATCTACCTTGTGCTCTATATCAATTCTCCAGGAAAGCCAACAGAGCAGCCCGTTTAGCATCACCGTCTGAATCCTCATCTACTCTCGCATCGACGGTCTTATCTTCATCATCCAGCAAGGTAAGAGCCTGCTATGTGTACATTCTACTAATGTTATGTAATTATTTTCTTTATATATGCTAGTCTTCCTTGATGTATGATATTTGGCAGGTATCACTATGCCTGTAGCTAAGAATGACATACTTCCCCTAGTTTTATGGTGACTTTTATTTCTTTGACTGTTTTTTTGTATCAGCAAATAACATTCATTTGACTACAACATCGCAATCAAAATTTGATGTCGGCCATAAGACATAGGGAAGTCACTGTTTATACTGCGTCTCATCTTAACCAGGTTATGTGTAAGAAAGCCAGCTTTCGGGGTACTCAAGTCCGTATAAAATTGTCATTAAAATGGAGTCCCCGCATTTAACTGGAGGGGAGCTTACAGGGGACATGCATTAGCCCTGGTTGCTCCCTATGGAACGGGCTTTATTGTGGGGGGCTATTACTGCAGGGGCTGGGCTGAAACTATACAAACACCTAAAGCGAAACAAGTATCAATTTTCAAGACATTATAAAGGTTAAGGCTCAGAATATTATGTACACTTAACGGTTGTTTTATATGCTTTCATTTGAAAATAGAAATATAAAAGTGGTAGAACCAACAATTTATTTTCAGTAACTTTTATCAAGACTCACAGAGGAAATGATTGGCATGTGTGGTGAAAAAAACAGTAAAATGAAGGGGAGACCGTTTTCTTAATATTACCGCTGAACACACGGTGTTGGTGAAAATGCACTAAAACGTCTTTGCGGGATTCCACATATTTTTGGTAGACGAAAAAACACTTATGAATAATAAGGGACGTGGCTCCTATAGGATAGCACGCGGTAAATTAGTCTTGAAGCATATAGCTTTAAACCGTCAATCAGGACCTACATGAGAGGGAACGGATGTTGAAATGATATTATAGTGTATTAACAATGTGATTTCGGGCCCGTGCATAACTTGAATGGTCTGTTTTCCTTATAATATAATAGCAGTATTGTTTGTGCCGTGGATAGGAGAGTAAAACATGATATAATACTATCATGAAAATGTGGACATTATGTTTGGATTCGGTTTTGGTGAAGCTTACAATCGAACAAAACAATATAAATAATGTTGCCGGTTGAAATATCAAACAAAAGAATTTGTAAATAATTATATAAATAGTATTCAAAGGTTTATTTAATATTTCTCATTCATATTCTTGTAATGCTTATGGTTTAACATTATTATACGATGGAATTTAAAGGTCCTTAACGATATATCTAACTTTGTATAATAGTATTCACTACGGATATCTAGATAAAGCTCTTTGGAATGGTTTCATATATCATGGTACAAAACGAAAAATCATTTATTGTTTTGCATTGATATTTCTATTGTGATTCAGGTATGTATTGTTTATTGTTTTCGTTAATTTCGATCACATACAATGTATTAATGTTTATATATCAAATGTTATCCCAGAAAATGAATAATCATATTCGAAAAATATACAACACGTTATGTAGATGTCAGCATCCCAATGAAATAATAAAAATTCACAAACATACTCATAAGAACATATCTTCTTTAGGTTATTACATATTAATTGTATCGAACAATAAAGTCGAATCGATCGTCAATAAATAATTACAATTGTTAATTTGGGAATGAAAACTAAAAAACAATTTTGTTCACAAGAATGATTGATTCGTTATGTGCTGTTTGATAAACGTTATTCTAATATAAATTTATTCCGATAGTCCAACTTGCATTTGATGAAATATTACATGAATATGAGTTATATTACTAATTTCTTTTGAATTATTTGAAGCAAACCTTCGTTTCCACACAATATTATACGTTTTAGAGTAATTCTCACTCTAACATTTAATAACGTGTATCAGCGCTTAAGCAAAAGGTGAACTATGAGATATAATAACTGCACATCGATATCTATAACGTATTTGAATACACTATTTTTTAGATATTTTCTGTTATGTTAAGGTTTCACCGAGTTCGTCTTATACAAATATTGTATGCATATTTGAGTGAATTTGTTTCCTTTTCAATTGTCTCACACTCACACATGTATAAACAAATGTGTATCTTTTTATTAAATGTTGTAATATTGAAAAGCAAATCATGTTTATGCATATCGTATAGATTAATTGTTAAGAGTAAACAAGGAAAAATACAATTTAAAAAACCCCACCAAAAAAAACAAAAATGTTCTAGGTTTGTATTTTGTACTGATCTAGCAAATAGTAGAATCCTGATCGTTTCATTTATATAATTTATAATTGGATAAAACCAACTCACGATAAATGATTAAACAATATGTGCATGTTAATTTGATGTAAACAAAGCATTGCTTTGCTAGAACACATAAGCTGATGTATATCGTACTGGATACAATGCAAAGCCGATCATTGTTTCTGTATTGTCTTTGATTTATGAGGTAATAATCAATGGGGTAGGAACAGTATCTTCACTGCAGTAAAGCTATAAACTATATGATATATTTAATAATGATATTGATATAAAGTATATTGTACCGTTGCAATTTGACAGCGATATGTGATTGTAACATCAAATCAAATAAGATATATGCAATGTGTTTTGGGAAGGTAAAATACACTTTTCTGTCGTTTCGGTAAACTAAGTAAACAGAAAAAAAGTAAATAAGTTAAAGTTAAATATTGTCTTTTTCATGTTCTAATATCTTTTTCTCCTGCATTGTACTATAAATATCTGTGAAAAGCCCTCACGCTAGTGAAGTGAACATTATATTTTGTCCTAATCAAAATACTTCAACATATTGAACTGACATTAAACTCTAAAATGTAATTTGTATTGCTTTTAATTCGAGGTTCATGTCAAGCACAAATGGGAAGAAGATGAAAAAACATATAGAGGATAATAATATTCACATTTTTCCGTTTTAGTTATCTTTTTTTTTATGATAAAGGATGAAGCTACTCCATCTGATATTGATAATGTTTTTTCTGTTGTTATTAGATTATATATGATAATTTCAACAATATTCTGTTATTTTTAGATTTTACAGCATACAATTATATGCACCATTTGCCTTTCAAGTGAATTAATTAAAAAAACTTCTTCTTTCCGTATTCACATGATTACCATAGTTAATTCAAAAACAGCTGCAGTTTACAGTAATATATATCCCGTGCACTACATTTCAAGCATATTTCTTATTGATGCATACACATATACATATTATCGTTATCTACATTACAGTTTCTGTTTTATCCTTCAGATTGCAATATATATATATATATTTATGAGATATATTCTAATGATTTTATGTTCTTGGCCAACAAGACTTTATTTTTTGTTCCCATTTAATATCGATCCCATTTAATATCATTCAGAGCGCATGATACATTAGGTTAAGTTATGTTAGGCTTAAAAGGGTGATAACACGTAAACAAAATTACCAGTTGAAGCAATGCGTAGTTAAAAACAGATCATGTTAAGTTGCTGCTTACTGTATCTGGGACAAGTAATCAAGGGGATTCGGTTATCTAACTTGTGCTGGTAGTGTAAACAAAACAAAAACGTGGCTTTAATCTTATAATATTTCTATCTATAGTTCAGGTGTTAATAAAATGACTTAAGATTAACAAGCAATTATGAATAGTAGAGAGGTATAACAGGGTAATACTATTACATAAAGGTTGTGAAACATTGATATACATTGTCAAAAAGGGATAGGAAGTGTACATTTTCAGCCGGATATGTAATTGAAATTGAAATGATCAAAACCAAATCTTACATTGTGTTATGTGTATTTGCCACATCATGGTGAGAACATGACTATTTAGTGAGAAGGGAACGCGTTTTGACAATTTGAGAACAAGGAAAAGTCAGAACGCAATGTACGTAATAAATGAAGTAAATCCTTAACGATGATTTAATAAGCAGAAAATGATACAGCAAAAGACGATATCATCATCAGTATATACAGAGTTTTAAAACAAGATTGTTAAACAATGAGCGTTAATGATGATAAAAACATAGACATGTATGAATATCGAAATACGTTTTGTTTCCGTTTATCATGACGAAAGATGTTAATGTTTCTCATTTTTACTGTTGATATGTTAGAGTAATATTAGTATATAAGCAATCATACAATAGACTGTTTCCAAAACCCAATTATTTGATTTGAGTACAGTTGATATTGTATATAATAATATATTGCATATGCAATTTGCATGTTCATCCAAAGTATGTAATTGAAAAACAGTTTTTATTTCGAAATGTTTCAGAAAAATGTGTATGTAACTTTATATTTTGCCACTGTGTGAATCTTAAAGGATCTCGCCAGTCTTGGCCTCGGTGTAAACTGTGTGTGGCTATCCCTAGTCTTCAATCTTCCTGTGTGATTTTTCTTACAAATGATTTAGGAGCCTTTTACACACCATTTTCGATAGATAGAACCTATTACGACTGTTCCGCGTGTGTGTATGGACGTTCAACGTTATAGGTAAGCCTAATGGCTAGAAATGTAATAATTGCTTTTGAGATCGTAAACAAGGACACACCATCACTGGCTAGCATCTGGGACGCTGATTATCTGCGATAACGTTCTCGTGGAATTGAATGAATGATATAGTGAAAAATACATATGCAAAACAAACAAACGAAACAACAATTCCATTTCAACCATTTCCCGTACAACATACATGTGTTTCAAATATGCTTACCGGCTATCAGTTGTAATCGATATCAAAAGTTAACTTTCCTGTATGGTAATGAATATGCATGATAATTTGCATACAAAAGGTGAGGGAATTATCTTCAGCATTTATCAACACCTGTGACCAAATACACATTTTATTGATAAAGCTGTTTAACATAGCGATGATGAGATTGGTAATAGATTGGAATAAATACGCAGATATATATCAAATACATTCTACTGAATATTAAATGAACCATACATGTCGAACGACCAGCGATGTCGTTTATCTGAAATAGTGTATGAATATAATCTTCAAAATCATATACA